GTCTATTCTATCTGTCCGTCTGTCTGTCCTATCTGTCTGTCTGTCTGTCTGTCCTATCTATCTGTCCGCCTGTCTGATCTGTCTGTCTGTCCGTCTGTCTGTCCTATCTGTCTGTCTGTCCTATCTGTCTGTCCATCCATCTATTCTATCTGTCCTGTCTGTCTGTCCTATCGGTCCGTCCTATCTGTCTGTCTGTCTGTCTGTCTATTCTATCTTTCTGTCCTATCTGTCTTTCCTATCTGTCTGTCTGTCCGTCTATCTATTCTATCTGTCCTATCTGTATTCTATCTGTCCTATCTGTCTGTCTGTCCTATCTGTCTGTCCTATCTGTCTGTCTGTCCGTCCGTCCGTCTGTCTGTCTATTCTATCTGTCCGTCTGTCTGTCTGTCCTATCTGTCTGTCTGTCCTATCTATCTGTCCTATCTGTCTGTCTGTCCGTCCGTCCGTCTGTCTGTCCTATCTGTCTGTCTGTCCTGTCTGTCTGTCCTATCTGTGTCTGTCTGTCTGTCCGTCCGTCCTATATTTGCGAGGTCCTGCAAACATACGGGCAAAATCAGGTAAGAAAATCGCTATCTTTATTACCTTTCAAAAGTATAACGTTACCAGAGTTTATAAATGGGTAAAGGATAAATGTGTGTGTTTATGTGGTTTATGAGGACACAAATTTGTATAATAACATGGGTATAACAGGTATTACAACGAGAAGGTGATTTATGAGGACATTTTCAGTGTCCCCGTAATTCAAAAGGCTTATAAATAATTCAGAATTCGTTTTTTTGAAAATCTGAAATAGCAGAAAGTCTCCTGTGAGGGGTAGGTTTAGGGGTAGGGTTGGTGTAGGGCAATAGAATATACGGTCTGTACAGTATAAAAACCATTACGCCTATGGAGAGTCCCCACTTTTCACAAAAACAAACCTGTGTGTGTGTGTGCGCTATTACATCCTAGAAAATTAGATAAGATGCTTGGAGAACAGAATCCAAACTGATGTGCTCACGTACGTAATAGTTGGTGATGGTCCGTCGTAACTGAATTGCGATCTCTATGGGTTTAGAGCTCGGAGAGCTGTGAAATTTACCCAAGACTTGGAGTCTCTATTGATTACGACCTGTGAACAGCTGTGAAGTACGTCGTAATAGTTTTATACCACTCCAAAGCGCCTGATGAGTGATTCCTGACTCGCTGGCACTCGAACGCATTCAGTCTGATTTCAGCACGAGTGCTTGTTATTATAGCTGTCATCTGGATTGAGATGGATGAGGTTCAGTGCTCTGGTGGGAGGTCCCTGGGGACGCTGCTTTAGTGGCTGAAGGATGCTGATACTGGCAGCTTCCATCTCTCTCTTCATCTTCACAGGTCTGTTAACCGTAGATCCTGAGCGCCGGCTGAAGCTCTCGGCTCTGAAGGAGAACGCCTGGCTTCAGGGCGGTGGTGTCATGTCCTCCACCCCTCTCTGCACCCCTGATGTCCTGGAGTCCACCGGCCCCACCGTCAGGACCTATGTCAATGCCACCTACAAGGTCCAGTATCTGCATTTGACACTGTATTGAGTACGGATGCACCCAAGTCAAATTCTTGCAAGTGCATGTGGAATAAAAGCACAGACATGAGTTATTACACACTAGCAGTACCAGATGGAAATATTTTGATGTTGGCACATTCTCTCCTTCCCCAGCGTATTAGATGAGTCAGTTCATCTACATCTTACCTGGAATAAAATATAAAACACGTTGCTGATAAATGCATCTCGCTCAGATACTCGCATTTGATGATGCAATAAATTCAGAATTCACAATATTAAAACGTTTAATTCAAAACACGACATATTTGAATATATTAATTAATTAAAAAATAAAAAACAAGACTGTGTACTGAAATGGATAGTTCACCCAAAAATTAAAATTGCCATTGTTTGGGACCCTGGGGTAAGTGGTCATAAGTGTAAATTTTGTGAAATTGAGATTTATACATCATCTGAAATCTGAATACATAATCTTTCCATTGATGTATGGTGTGTTAGGATCGGACAATATTTGGAAATCTGGAATCTGAGGGTGCAAAAAAATCCAAATATTGAGAAAATCATCTTTAAAGTTGTTCAAATGAAGTTCTTAGCAAGGCATATGACTAATTATAATACATTTTTTATATTTGTACAGTAGGAAATGTACAAAATATCTTCATGGAACACGATCTTTACTTAATATCCTAATGATTTTTGGCATAAAAGAGAAATGTATAATTGTGACCCATACAATGTATTGTTGGCTATTGCTGCAGATATCCCCCAGCGACTTAACACTGCTTTTGTGCTGCAGGGTCACATATGAAGATATTTTTTATGAAACCTGAGAGATTTCTGTCCCTCCTTTGACAGTCCATTCACCCAAGACTTTGCCAGTTTAAAAGCTTCATTAAAAGTGATCCGTACGAGTCGAGTCGATCTTCTAGTCGATCTTCTGAGAAGACACAATCACATAAAGTGCCCCATTATGACATTTTTAAGCTTCCTGATATTGTTTTGGGAGTCCACTACAATAGGTTCACATGCATGCAAGTTCAAAAAATGCTTTAGTTTTCTCAAAACATGCGTTTAATATCACCTCATTTTCCAGCGATTCCCAAAAGATTCGTTCGAATCAGTCTGAGTTTCAGTCTCTCTAAACCCCTCCTCTCCGTCAGCCTGCTCTGCTCTGATTGGTCAGATGGCCCGGTCTGTTGTGATTGGTCTACTGTATACAGCGCGTGTCATAGTTATGTATCTTGAGCGCTTGATAGAAAATATGAACATCAGTTATTAATCATACTTAAATATTGTGATTGAGTGGAGTCAGCTGGTCCAAGTAAACTAGTTAATGAGCTCATCTTTGTTTTTTGGTTGAAAAAATGATCTTAAATCTGATTATATTAGATTGAACAATTGGTGGCTGACTAAATACTTTTTTGCCCCACTGTAATTAAAAAATAAAAAACAAGACTGTGTACTGAAATGGATAGTTCACACAAAAATTAAAATTCCCATTGTTTGGGACCCTGGGATAAGTGGTCATAAGTGTAAATTTTGTGAAATTGAGATTTATGCATCATCTGAAATCTGAATACATAAGCTTTCCATTGATGTATGGTTTGTTAGGATCGGGTGGAAATGAAATACACTGTTATAAGAATAAATGAGACGCATTGTTGTGCAGTAAGAACATCGCTGAATCCAAAGTATTCTTCTTAAGCCAGTAACGGTTTTATCACTTAAATTTTTTTGCTCTGATGTGTTGGTGTTAATTTGACCGCTCAGATCCGTTGCATTATCTCTGAGTGTTGTCTTAAAGGGGTGGTTCACACAAATGTGAACTCTTGAACGTATGCCAGTGTCTGTTGGCACAATGTGAAATAAGTGAAACTACTTGGTCTTGTAGAAAATATTCCAAATACAGTTAAATATTATGTTCATACTTTGACAATAACAGCTTGATATTGTAAATGATACATAAAATAAAAATTTTTTTTTTAATTGTATTAATATGTCCAATGTTTCATCTCAGGTATCCTCTACTCTTCTCTACTAGTTACACAAAGGACACTCTATAGTGTGGTAGAAATGATGCCACTCTGAGATGGAAAATATTGAGATGGTTTTATGATTATTTCCTTTTTACACAACCATAGTTTTTAACAGCCTAATATTTATATGATGTTCATAGATTTTCTTGATCCCCAAAGGCAATCAATCAATCAATCAATCAATCAGCTTGTCCCGTGTAGAGTCGTGATCCTTTAAACTGTCTAAAACACAAAATTGCCCACAATCACAAATTCTTCTACAAAGTAAAACCAGATTGGTCTTCAAAATAATATGTGACCCTGGAGCACAAAACCAGTGAGAAGGGTCAATTTTTCAAAAGTGAGATGTATGCATCATCTGAAAGACCTTTTCTTGATCCCCAAAGGCAATCAATCAATCAATCAATCAATCAATCAATCAATCAATCAGCTTGTCCTGTGTAGAGTCGTGATCCTTTAAACTGTCTAAAACACAAAATTGCCCACAATCACAAATTCTTCTACAAAGTAAAACCAGATTGGTCTTCAAAATAATATGTGACCCTGGAGCACAAAACCAGTGAGAAGGGTCAATTTTTCAAAAGTGAGATGTATGCATCATCTGAAAGATGAATTAATAATATCTCCATTGATGTATGGTTTGTTAGGATAGAACGATATTTGAAAATCTGGAATCTGAGGGTGCAAAAAAATCTAAATATTGAGAAAATCATCTTTAAAGTTGTTCAAATGAAGTTCTTAGCAATGCATATTACTAATCAAACATTAAGTTTTGATATATTTACGGTAGGACATTTACAAAATATCTTCATGGAACATGATCTTTACTTAATATCCTAATGATTTTTGGCATAAAAGAAAAATCTATATTGCTACAAATATACCTCAGCGACTTACTGCTTTTGTGCTCCAGGGACACATATGTAAATTATTCAGTCCCATTTTAGTAGTCATGTTGTGTTTATCAGAATCTTCTGATGTATGGTTTGTTAGGATAGGACAATATTTGGCCTAATTCTCATGACGTAATGCTCCAGAGATGCAGTAGCTGGTGAAGCACAGCAGATGTCACTGAAAGCATGGCGTCAAAATGGCCTTGATGCCACTGGCGTGTTGTCATTAATCAAAGTGATGTGTGAGCGGGTCATTTGCATTGGAAATTGTGATATATGGAGCATGACACAAATGGATATGAATGGAACAGTAAATCAAAGCGATTCCATCAATTATAATTGGCCCCTTCTGGCTGTGACCCAAGGTCTTCTGGCTTGTTATTTCAGAGGCTCCTGACGATGAGGCACATGTGAACTGTCTTCACATCAGTGCCAAAAATGAATGAAACGTCCGCTGCTACTCTTCAGCCTGACCCGTAGTAAGTTAAAGTGTCTCACACTTTTAGGTTTACTAGTATCTGCCGGCTCTGGCTGCTGAATTATTGAGCTTAAGGAGAGTGAGTGTGACCCCAGCGGTGTCAGTGAGAGCGCTGAGCTTGATTTCATGGCATATCTTCAGATTTCTGCATCAATTTTTCATCTCGCCTATCCAAAAAAGCGTTTCATTATTAAAAAGCCAAATATGAGCAGAGCACTATGGCCCACGCTGAGTGAAAGTGCATGATTGTTGCTTACGGTGACGCCTCACTGCTTTAACAACTTCTCCTTCTCAAAGCCCTGGAGGAGCTACAGTGTAAGACTGTCTGATGCTTCTAGTAAGTCTCGCTGTAAAGATGCTACAGTAAACAGCACTGTAAAAAAAAAAGTGTTAATGGTACATCCCCTTAGTCTGTGAGGAGTAATAGATCTGATGAAACATTGTATGCAATTTTACTGTAAAATACTGTTTTTGGAAGTGAAAAAGAAGTGGTCTTATAATTTATAGTAAAAAAACATGAATCAACATTCTCTGAAACCTCTGTGTGGTAGCTCACATTTGATGGTTCGTCATTAAAGTAACTGTTTCTTGATGCTGATGACGGATCATGTCTGCGTGAACAGGGTGCACAGAGGTATGCAAATACATTTGTAGGCAGGACAGCCTATCATAGCTCTCGGACCGAGGAATATGATTGGATGAACATTTTATGGTCCTATGCCATAAAAAAATCAGCCCTGGCATTTTTTGGTCCAAAGAGTCCTCCACTACGATCAGAATCGGTCGAGTCGGACAGCACCCATATATATATATATATATATATATATACACTGTCAATTAAAATACACACAAACACATTTGGACCCCATAACGGTACACACTAACACTGTGTGCAGCAGTTTAAGTGTACTCACTCGCTCTTGACTTGCTCTTAATAGTCAACGTTATGACTGTTTGCGGAAACTAACCAGTAGGCTATCTACAACAAATAGAGATGCACAGATCATGATTTTCATGGCCAATTATGATTGTCGGCAAATGGGCTGATTCCGATACTTATTGCTGATAATTATTTTTTTTCTTTAAGCAGGAGATTAAGAGAAAGATTGAAGAACAAGAATAGAGAAAGATTACACGAACAAGCTGTTTATTTGCTCTATTACAGGCTGAACTGATTAAGATAATCTGTAGCCATTTGAAATTAGAGGCAACCACTGCATTTTAATCACAGTCCCGAACTTACATGTGGCATGAGCAGTTATTTTTCATTTCAATTAGATTGTACAATTATAAGATTTAAAGCAAACAGGTCTGACTTGAGCTTTGTGAGATTATGATAAAAATGCAGATTCACTCTCTGACAGCAGGAGGCGCTCATGGAACAGCAGATAGTGTTTCTGTGGTTATCGCTGTAAACAAAGCAGCGCTGCGCTAATAAACACTGCTGTAATATGCATCATACAGAGACCAGATGAGAAGAAAACACCATCTAAACTGTTCTGAAGACACTCCGTTCCCTTCAGAGATACAGTCGTATAAACCTCCATCCCTAATTCAATGTTTAGAATTTTCTTCCAATATTTTGAGCATCACGAACAGTGAGTTTGCACTTTCTGTAGAGTATTTGCTCTGTATTCTCTTTGCCTTTATTGTGTCCCATCTCTGACTTCGTAATATTTCCTCATATTTCCAGGGGTCAAGCAATATTTCTAAAGAGCACTTCATCACTCCGTCTATGTTTGGATTTACTCGGTCAATACAGAAGACAAAGCAGTGCATGGAACAGCAGATAGTGTTTCTGTGGTTATCGCTGTAAACAAAGCAGCGCTGCGCTAATAAACACTGCTGTAATATGCATCATACAGAGACCAGATGAGAAGAAAACAC